TCTATTTCTATTTTTAGCTAACAGCTCAATAAATAAATTTTAGCTCCGGACATTTAACAGTGTCTGTTTTCCTAGTTTACTAATGCGTGCTTTAATAATTATATTTATATTTAGCATTCGAAAAACATATTAATTCATCAAAATCAACCAAAGATTACAGATTTTGGACTATCAAAACAGATGAATGAAATTTCTATGACTTCAAACTCAATCGTTCATGGAATGCCGGCATATATCGAGCCTCAATGTCTTATTATGCAAGGATATAGGCGTGACAAGAGATCAGATATCTATAGTTTTGGCATAATTCTTTGGGAAATTTCAAGCGGAAGACCTCCATTTCAAACCTTTGAATCCAAGATGGAACTCTGTTTTCATATATATAAAGGAAATAGAGAAAAATCTATAGATGGTACACCATCTCGATATATTGAACTTTACCAAAGATGTTGGGACAGTGATCCTGCGAATCGCCCAGAAACAAAATTAATTTTCAATACTTTAAAACAACTTATTCTTGATGAAACTTTGAATCAAGATGATCTTATTGAAACGTCATCTCAAAGTAGTGAAATTTCTTCAAGTCATCAATATAGTAAAAATACATTCAAAAATTCATTTGAAATTACGACATCATCTCCACTTTATTTACCTGACACTATAAATTTGAATATTTCAGTACAGGACAAAAGTGCTCTTGAGAATTTGAGAAAGGAAGCACGAGAATATTTTAAGCAACGCAAATTTCTCAAAGTATTAGAAGTTTTTGAGGAAATTCTTAAAAACAGCCATCATAGTCACGAAGATAAAAAAAGTGCTTCAAGTTGGAATCTTTCTTACATTAAATTTGGAGTGGAAAATTTAAATGAGTTAACAGAAGTACTTTTTAAGAACTCCATCCTGACTTCTTTGAATCTCAATAGGAATAAACTTGGACCAGAAGGAGGAAAAGCATTGGCAGATGCACTTTGCAAGAATTCAATGCTGACTTCTTTGAATCTTTATAATAATAAACTTGGATCAGAAGGAGGAAAAGCATTAGCAGATGCACTTTGCAAGAACTCCTCCTTAACAATGTTAGATATTACCAGTAATAATCTTGGAGCAGAAGGAGGAAAGGCATTAGCAGATGCACTTTGCAAGAATTCCACCCTGACTTCCTTGAATCTTTATGATAATAAACTTGGATCAGAAGGAGGAAAAGCATTAGCAGATGCACTTTGCAAGAATTCCACACTGACTTCTTTGGATCTTTATGATAATAAACTTGGATCAGAAGGAGGAAAAGCATTAGCAGATGCACTTTGCAAGAACTCCTCCTTAACAACGTTATATCTTACTGGTAATAATCTTGGAGCAGAGGGAGGAAAAGAATTAGCAGATGCACTTTGCAAGAATTCCACGCTGACTTCTTTGAATCTTTATGATAATAAACTTGGATCAGAAGGAGGAAAAGCATTAGCAGATGCACTTTGCAAGAATTCAATGTTGACTTCTTTGAATCTTGGTTGGAACGAACTTGGATCAGAAGGAGGAAAAGCATTAGCAGATGCACTTTGCAAGAATTCCACGCTGAAAGATTTGAATCTTCGATATAATAATCTTGGATCAGAAGGAGGAAAGGCTTTAGCAGATGCACTTTGCAAGAATTCCATGCTGAGAGACTTGAAGCTTTATAATAATAATCTTGGATCAGAAGGAGGAAAAGCATTGGCAGAAGCACTTTGCAAGAACTCAACGTTAACTTCTTTGGATCTTTCTGCTAATAATCTAGGATCAATCAGCTTTATAACTAGTTTTTTTAAACAATCAGGAGGAAAAGCATTAGCAGATGCATTATGCAAGAACTCCACGCTGATTACTTTGAATCTTTCTGAAAATAAACTTGGATCAGAAGTAGGAAAAGCACTAGCAGATGCACTTTGCAAGAACTCCACGCTGACTACTTTAAATCTTTCTGAAAATAAACTTGGATCAGAAGTAGGAAAAGCACTAGCAGATGCACTTTGCAAGAATTCCACGCTGAAATATTTGGATATTCTATCTAACAATATCAGATTTGAACTAAAATCAAACAATTCCGATATTACAATAATTCAACCATATTATTAAATAGATCAATCTGTATAAAATAATGTAGTTATTTTAAACACTGTAAAATTTCCAGTTAATTTTTAATACTGTATAAATTGTATATAAATAGAGATATACCAAATTTAGATGCCGCAATTAATAAGTTGCTATTGATTTATGAATAAAGTAAACAATCATATATATATATATTTATTTATTTAATAGAAAGTATGCCGACTTATAATCTTGTATTTACTAAAAAGTCTACTTATTAATATTTAAATTTAGTACTTTTAAAGTATTTAAACTTTTATTTAGTACTTTTAAAGTATTTGAATTATATTAAATATTTAATTTTTTAAAATATTTTATAAATACTTGTAATTGTAACTCAATATACGTATTTGTTTTCAATATTATTAAATACTAGTCAAGAAATTACTTAAAGTTTTGCTATTTAATTATTATTATTTAATTTATTTAAATAAGATTAAAAGTGCTGTTTTAATAACGGCTATAATAAATAATTAGGTTAAAAAAGCTATTTTTAATAAATATATTAATTATTTTAAATTGGGAATAGAGAAGTATGATTTGGTTTGTTGAAATTTGATTGTTAAATTAGATTTAAATTAAACCAAAGCACAAAACAAATTAAATCAAACTTTACGATCTCTACCTTGAATGTAATAAATTTACAAACTCCTATTGTAATTAGTACTAAAATTTTAAAAAGTTTTAAATACAAATAGAGAGATAGTAAATTAATAGCTATTTTAAATATATTAAAGTTAATATATGTTTAGATAAATTATAAATTTTATTGATAAAATATTATTTATTATATTGAAATTTTAATTATTACAAAAATTAGTTATTATTCAAGCATCGTTATATTTTATAAAGTAAACAAGTTATTTATAATTTTGAAAGTATTAAATAATAATTATACAGTATTAAACAAAAATATTTATTAAATAAAATATATATTAATACTATACTCGTATAAACAGTTTTTTTTCATACTAGAGAATTTGTTAGTTGATATGCACTCAATCACTATTTAAGTATTGTCACGGGCAAAGAAAGGATCTTCAAAATTGGCGTAGTAAACTCATGATATTCCAAGTACTCAACCAAATACTGGTTTATCGGATGAGGCTTATCGGCCGAATAAAACATATAAACAAGTATTTACAGCTGTTCTCATAAATTCTGGGACAACGATAAAAATTGATCAGCCGAATTCGATAAGTTTTTAGATTCGGTGTTATCGAATTACTGTAATGCCGAAAATCCAATTCCGATAACACCGAGTTCAAAAACTTATCGAATTCGACCGAAATAAATTTTATCAGTTGCCCCAGAATTTATGAGAACAGATGTAATTTAGATTAGGGCTTAGATAAAGGATGAATCCTCGGCCGGACCAGCCTCATAACCAACGTGAAATCCGAAGAACCTGAACGCGTAAAAAGAGAAGAGCGAAGAACAAGAAACTAAAGATTAAATCAAGAAGTTGCAATAAGAAATATTTCAAGTAATGAAGCAAAGCCGTTGGATTTTCTTGATTCATGTTGTAATTATCTTTGTAAGCCCCTACGTTTGTATGAGTTTCCCTTAAATTAGTTAAAGATGAAATAAGTTATTTTCCCTAAGCCCCTTTAAATTATAAGAGGAGGAAAAGCTATAAAAGAGATGGGAAGTTGCATTAGTTGGAAGGGATTCCAATATTCCTCCTATAATACATTGAATAAATTCACTTAATAAATCATTTCAACAAATAAATTATTGTCAAATCACCAACGTCACGTCTCTGGCAAGTTGATTTATCACCTAAAACCTTATAATTTCGTGTATAAATCTACGAATCACCCCGTAACAGTATCTATAGTTTACGCAATAGGTAATCGCCTCTTTAAAGTATATCACATCTATAATATTCACATATAACTCATATACTTTTAAGTACAAATTATAATTAATGTACTATTTAGAAATATTACTTAAATCTGCGCAAAAATTTCTTAAGCTCTAAACAACTAAAAATTATGATCATTTTTTGTGTCACTTATGTGAAGCTACATGCAATTTTAAAACCTTTAGTTGTATCAAAGGCAAGTATTCCAGAAATCAAAACCATATGTTATAAATTTCTGCATTAATAATATAATATTGGTCATATTTATATATATGAGAAATCTTCATAATAGCTAATAAGAAATATGAAATAAAACAAAACTATTATCTGCTAATAGAATGCAGAAATTACACTTTTGAACGTTAATGATAAACTAATTTTTTTAACTACTTGAAATACTTCATAATTTGAAATCGTAACTGACCCTGAGAGGTTGATGCTAGAATAATAAACTACGTTATATTGCCAATTACTATTGTTATTTGGCGCGTATAAATCATGAGCACCGAAAGTTGGACCATAATTATTATTGCAATAGACTGCCTGATGACCGTAAGTAACGCGTCCTAATGTTGCATTTTTAAGATCACTAATTGAAAACAAAAAGCTATCCGTTGTATTTTTATATTGACCATTTCCATTCCAATCAAGCGGATTATAACCACCAACCAGTTGATTTGAATTTGAAATTTTTCCTACAACAATTGTAGCCCCTTTATTGTCGCACTTTTGATGAAATGTGTAAGATGAAAAACCATCTCTGCTACTTCGAAAAAGAAGATTAAATTCGTATAGGATTTCCTTAGAATTTTTATTAATCCATTTTGTAAATAATTGAAGAATTTCTTTATTAATTATAACCGAATCAATTTTGGAACAACTCCTGGCTGGGAATACATTATATAGTGGCGCTGCACCAGAAACCAAATGGCAACGTAGCACGTCTTCAGTCAAGTTGTCGGGAAGCAGGCGCCTGAATGGCCAAACTTTTGTAATAAACATTTCTTTGTTTATTTGGTGAAATCTTACAATTCACGCAGTGTCTTTTTTAACGTCTCAAAATCATCATGTGTAAATTTTTTCACGTCGCTCTTAAACTTTGGGTGTTGAGCCATTCCCCATTTTATTAAACGATCCCAGATAATACCTTCATCAATATCAAGATTATCACATTTAAGAATTATTGTTAACACGTCTTACGTCTTCTGCTAATGAAAAAAACTTGTCTGAATCAAATATTAAGCCCGGATTTTCACAAATAGTCTCCAAAGAAACCTTTTTAAGTTCACTGAATGCTTCATGACGAGTAACTATATGAAGCATTTTAACAGAATCTTGTTTCAAAAAGTCGTAACGACGTTTAATTAAAAATTCTTGAACATGGTCCAAAAGCTTTTGAATACCGAGTTCATCAGTGTCAATTAGGAGATCTAGGACAATCGCACCCTCCTGTGCTTCAAGATAGTTTTTTATAATCATCCGCTATGTCTGCAAAAAAAGAAGAGCTCATTGTTACAGTAAAAAATTATGAAAAGACGATATTTCATTATTTAAATAAAATTGTAATTTTACAATAATCGAATATATTATACTTTTTGTAGAAAATAACTTTCATAGAATTGATTTAGGGCGTTCTCAAGCACCTACCTCAATGAATTCAATAAAAAATCTGATTGGCTAGTTTGATCAAACAGACCA